TCTCTTTCTTAGTACTGCAAAATGATCTATACTTACGCTGATAGGGTCTATGTCACCCAGGGTACTATCGGAGGGTACCCTGTGTATGGTTCGATATATCGGAAAGTACCTCGGGGTACTATACGATATGTTGCTGCATACCCTACATTGTCCCACCGTACCCTGACTTGTAACCGATGTATTTCCGATGTTGTAAAACTAAAATATAAAAGCTAGCTCTTCGTTTAAAAAAAAGGAAAAAGAAAAATATAGTCAAACATAGCATACATTTTTATTGGATTGCGATGTTTTGAGGTTTCTTCTATGTGATGTGGTAACTTGACAGAGTGTATGTATTACGACATCAGTTGGCTGAAAGTCAGGGTACGGTGGGACAATGCAGGGTACACAGCAACATATCGTATAGTACCCCGAGGTACTTTCCGATATATCGAACCATACCCAGGGTACCCTCCGATAGTACCCTGGGGGACATAGACCCTATCAGCGTAAGTATAGATCATTTTGCAGTACTAAGAAAGAGAATTAATGTGCATTAAAATTGCTGACACACACCTTACTTGTGTTTTTTTTTTTTTCAAAATATAACCATTTAAATTCATCAAATTTCCACACAATACAACTCGTTTCTTAAAAGCCAGTTCATATTTCTACAAAAGACAAGTGCAACTTTTATTATTAACTCAATAAGATTTTTGCTGCAATTTCTAATTGACATACAGGTCATACATTCAATAACAGGTGAGTATTGCGTATATTAGGCCGTGCATTCACCATGTTATGTGTGCTACTTATCTGTTTTTAATACCTACCTGGGTGTGTATGTGCACTTTCATCAGACATGTCTATAGCCATCACAAAAATTCAATGCAGATTACACACTAGTCTAGTGACTCATGCTAGAGGGTCAGACTGCGATGAAGAGCCACATGATATCTAAATCTGTACACTCTTGAAACACAAAAAACTTAGAGAGATTCATCCATAATATATGAAACCAGATTATGAACAAATAATTGCGAAAAACAGTGCTGGAAAGTGAGAAACGACGCATATAACATCAAACAATATATGGTTATCAAAGCTCACTGACATACATTTAGAGATTATGTGGCTCTTTACCTACACACTTCCATAAATGGAACATGAAACCACCAACAACAGATACATCACATGCATCTCACACACCCAAACGTTTGTAGTTTTTCTGTTAATATCTCAGTCAAATAGAGATATAACGAACCTGGTTCTATGATTTCCTTGGGTCCTGTGTGAACAGGTGTGAAGAAGTGCACCAACCAGACATTGCCCAAGACATTATATTATCAGGAGTGTCATAATATAGAGGAGTACGACTCGCTCAAAACAAGAAATTCAACATTTCCATGCACTAGTTTACCTATGATTTATTATGTAAAACTCAATAAAAACAACATCAGAAATAGCGTTGCACATCCCACTTGCCCTCACACTTTAACTTGTATCGATACCTCTTATTATTATTTGGTTATAGCTTCAAACGTCAGACATGGTTTTAGTTATCAACCTAGTCAAGCGGCAGGCATTCCCGGCCGATGCAAGTAAACAATTGGCAGCTCGCGGCGCTGTTGACGTGGTTTGGCAGGGATTTGCAACTCACAATAGTGGGCTCTGACCGCTGGCTCTGATCTGTGCCAAGGCTGCGAGCACAGATGAACAGATGTCATATGACATAGTTATATAAAATAATTTCCTGCTGAACTTCTTCAACAGCACTGCGGGCTGCCAATTGTTTACTTGCATCGGCTGGGAATGCCTGCCGCTTGACTAGGACGTGAATAACTTAACCGATGTCTGACGTTCGAAGCTATAACTACATAATACCAGGGTGCGACATTAACGGGAGTCCGGAGTCAAATACTCCCTGATTTACTGTCGGACTGTAGGAGTCCGTGTGACTCCCTGAAAATTCTGCCATACTGACTAGTTGTTCCAGAGCATGGCCTCGCGGAATTACCGTATTTTTCAGCTAATGTCCAAAGAAAATTTGGCAGACGTGCAACCGCATGAATCTTAAAAATAAGCACATGTGTTATTGTTAATATCATATATTTTGAACCTCAGACTGCGGACTCCCTCATTTTGCTTCAGACTACCTCTTTTGGAGGGTAGGGAGTCCGTTGGACTCCCGTGTTCAAAAGTTAATTTCTACCCGTGTAATAAGAAGAGGTATCAATACATGGTAAAGTGTGAGGGCGAGTGGGATGTACAATGCTACTTCTGATATCATCTTCATTGAGTTTCACGTAATAAATCATAGGTAAACTAGGGCATGGAAATGTTGAATTTCTTGTTTCGAGTGAGTCATGCTCCTCTATATTATGACACTCCTGATTATATTATAATTACAACATTTTTAATTATCAATAGTGCTATATTTATAATCATAACTTCAAGTTCTTCATTATATAGGATTTTATCTCTTTAAACAGTCGGTGCCACGAACATTAAAATAAAAACTGTGGTGGCATATACCACTAAATTGGGTTAATAGTACAGTTTAGCAGAAGTCGGAGGTAGAGTAGCAACTTGTAATGTAAACAACAAATAACAGCTCACCATCTGATTCATCATCCTTTAATGGTGAGCTTGCTCTCAGTCTTTCACTATTAACAAGAAAACCATTATTTATTTGTAATATTTTTAGTTGGCAGAAAAATGAAAAGATGTATATGAAAACTAACAGGAATTCATGAGGTGTCTTCTATTTTAGTCATGCTTTATTTACGACACTACATAGAAATGAACAAAAAATTGAAGCTGTAATACAGGTGGGAAAATGTACGGGGGTTAAATTTCTAGTCATAAATTATTTTTATTAAATTATATCTACGTAAATGTATTAGTTTGACTTATTAAGTAAAAATAAATCAGTACATACTCTTCTGGTTCTGCAGCACCTTTTTTTCTGTAAATAAGATACATGTTGAGAAAATAAAAATGATTGTATTAGAATCACTAAGCATCATGCACCTACTAGATTCTATACCAGGTACCTAAATAAACATACATAACAATAACATGTAAACAGAAATACACCGAACTAACGATAATTTGGTGACAACATAGAAAAGAAATTATAATATGGTATTCCACTAGTACTGGATGACAATAATTGTAACAGACACTAACAGACCAGCTTTCTAAGCTCAAATTTCACACTGGACTATATATAGCAGTGTGCCCCTAACTACAGTGGTTCATATCCATACCTTTGTGATTCACTCCATCCTGCAGTGCGTCTAGTTGGTCTGGTCGGAATGTCACCCTAAAATCACCAAAGAAATTGGCAATTAGTGTTAAATTGAGAAAGTGAGAAACGTGAGCATTGGCTATGTCAAGTAGTTGTGATTTGATTTCCATTTCAAAATAAAACCAAGATATTAACGAACGATAATTTATTTACATTCATGAGAGCACCGTTTACAGCTCCTGCTGCTGCTGCTCCGGTCCCAGGCCGGTCCCCTGCTCTTCTACCCTGCCTCGCCTCCTGTGCATCAATGTATAATACTATTATGAAGGCACACATACCTTATCAACTAACATGTTGCAATAAACACATGCATGCATGAAAAAGAGAAACAGAGACGTAGAGACAAGGAAAAAGGAGTGATGAAGCAACGAGGAAGCAAGAGAGGGACAACGAAAGAGACAGGTAGAGAATAGAAAAACACAGATCGGGAGACAGTGTAGCGAGCAATATTATGCCGGAAATTCTACTCCATTGTTTACTCCAAGTTAATTAAAACATAGTTGTAGGAGTAGTTATATGTAGGAATAGGCGCTCCAGGTACCTTGGCCAGCGACAACACACCGGATGCGGTGTCGCCAAAGACGCATAACTAAACTAGAAGTTGTAACAATATAACGGAATTAGTCGTAGCGAAAAGGCTTTTACGGGCGCAATCACCTATGTGTCGCCGGGACAAAGGAGGCGAAAGACACGTGCACGAGGATAAATAGGGTTTGCACACTCATGTCGGGGCAGATCTGTCACGCGCCTGTGCGAGCCTGCTCCGAGTTTACTGTTATCTGTGTGGAGTTGGAATAAAGATCCATCGTGTACCCGTACTGCTAGAGTTCGCCTTTGATTAATGTCTTACGCTGCACGATCATCTGCACGATACTCTTCTCACCTCTCTCTCTCTCTCTCGCCCATCTAACGTCATGCCCGTCCGTTATGCCAGTCCCCGTCCTCTCCACACTCTCCACTGTGTAACGTCGCGCCAGTCGTTACAAAGAGACATAGAGAGAGTGACAGAGAGAGAGAGAGACAGTCAGACAGACAGACAGACGGACAGAGACAGAGACAGAGACAGAGACAGAGACAGAGACAGAGACAGAGACAGAGAGACAGACATACAGACAGACAGACAGACAGACAGACAGACAGACAGAAAGAGAGAGAGATAGAACAAACATAAAAGAGAGAGGGGAGGGAGTGAGGAAATGGGAAAAGAGGGATAAATAGATAAATGGAAGGATGGATGGATGGATGGATGGATAGATAGAGTCTATATAAAGATAGAAATATAGATAGAGGGAGAGAGAAAGAGCGAGAGAGCTAGAGATGGAGATAGAGAGAGGAGAGAGAGAGGAGAGACAGGGAGAGATGAGAAAGAAGAGAGAGAGAGGAGAGAGAGGAGAGAGGAATGGAGGGGGAGGGAATGAGAGAAAGAGACAGAGACAGACAGAGAGAGAGAGAAAGATGGGGGGGGGAGAGAAAGAGACAGAGACAGACAGAGAGAGAGAGAGAGAGATATGGGGGGGGAGAGAAAGAGAGACCTAGAGGATGAGGGTCTAAATTAACTCAATCACACATACATAATTTAACTTCTCTCAATAGTGTTATTCGCAAATATCGCTCGTGCGTTGCACGCTGGGATAGGTAGTGATCACTGGTAACGCCCTCTATGGAGAGGAGAGCACGATATCGCTAGCGTACGTAGCAACCTGTATTGAAAGGTGGCGGTATTTACGTGCACAAGCATGCACGTGTGCGTGCACACGCACGCACGTATGCACGCATGCACACACACACGCATGCACGCACGTACGTGTACGTCCACACACCCGCACGTGTACGTGCACACGCACGCCCGCACGTGTACGTGCACACACGCACGCACGCACGTGTACACGCATGCACGCACGCACACGTGCACACGCCCGCACATGTACGTGCACATGCCCCCACTCATGCACGCACGTGTACGTGCACACGCCCGCACGTGTACGTGCACATGCACCCACGCACGCACGCACGTGTACGTGCACACGCACACACGCACGCACGCAGATGTACGTGCACACGCACACACGCATGCATGTGTATGTGCACACGTACGCACGCACGTGTACGTGCGCACGCACGCACGCACTACTGTCTGATTCTCAAACATACTGCACAGACATACATCGCTAGCGTAGTTTGCAAACTTTCGTGATCATCAGCTAGACCAGCATGCAACGTGCCGATAACTCAGCGCATGCGCGAGTGGTATTTACGAAGAACTCTATGTATATATACTATCAGAATACTATGCATCTCTGAAAGACAATGTGTGATAGCTGGGAGTCTGCATGCACTCAATAATAATGGCAAAGTGATAAAAGGGGAAGGAGGGAGGGAGGGGAAGTGAGAGAGAGAAGGGGAGAGAGATATAAAGATAGAAGTAAAACTCAATCACACGTACATAACTTAATTTCGACTCATGTATACCCTCACCTGAAAGAGAATGTGTGGCAGCAAAAGCAGTCTGTGTACTCAATAATAATGACTCTTTGAATAAACACAAGATATTAGCATGCAGCCACAACAGCTATCTATAGTTACAGATCACCACTTACACGTGTTTGATTCTGTACTTGTGAGTGTGGCATGAAATCTAGATCATCTTCATCCATGTTTGGCAATCAATGTTAAACACCACAGTAGCTGTCAAGTTTTCTATTCCCTTTTCCTGTAATGCCTCTATAGACAAAAGCAAAGTATAGTGTGAGCATATTATATGACTGTGTTATCTTACAGAAATGTGTTATCGTTACCGCTATGATTACCAATATGGACCTGGGAGTGCCCAAGCCTAGTTTAGCAACCCAGATTAGTGTAGCACATATGCGAAAACATATTGTGGAATTTGTGGGAGTTCCAAACTATCCTTGATCCACTGTAATCATGCCCCATTGCAACATAATAACAACACATAATGCAGAGTAACCTTGTTAGGGTTAGTATAGAAGGACCAAGAGATTATACAGAAGACAAAAATAGAAAAAAGTTGTTTAAATCGATAGAGAATGCTGCAGATGATAGATTTCAGTAGAGCTGATAAAAGCAATAATACCGTATTTAGCGCAACCCAAGTTATCAAAGATGCATTCCTGCGCACATTTTTGTGATAAACCACTGTAAAGACGTAAGTAAATAACTCACTACACTTTAACTGAACGTTAGCTTTGAAAATAAAACTGTAAAAATATGTATGAAGCCTATATTTGCTCAACGGAAAAAAAACACTTCGAAAAACGCGTTTCGCCGCAGTTCTGTATCATGGCGGCAAGAGTCGACACAGCTCACATAACAAGTACAGCCATATATATAACATATAACACGTGTTTCTGCATTGCTTCACAGAAACAGTCCTTTGACGAAGCCGAATGCAGTCCATCACCAATGCTCTCGCAGGCCTAACCACCTATTACACAGCAAACCATCAACAAGCCAATTCCGGAAAAACACAAATAAGTGCCTTCCATCTAAAGAACAAGGATGCAAACTTCCAACTGAAAGTCAAATGGTATGAGAAATGGCCGACACATACCTATAGCCCAGTCTATCTAAGTGTTACTTTAGACCGCTCTCTAACTTACAAGGATCACATCATCAAGACAAATGCCAAAGTGGATGCCAGAAACAGTATTCTAAAGAAGTTGGCCACTACTAAATGAGGAACTGACCCAGTTCTGAACACTGCCTTCAGAGCCATTTCTGGATGCTTGAGACCAACCAACATAGATGACCTCTACCTGCTCTGTGGCATTGCTCCTCCACACGTTAGACAAATAGCTTCATCCCAAGTAGAGAAACTTAACCAAGAAAATGACCCTCGCCACCCCTCTTCCATCATGAAACAGTCCATCACGAGAGCCTTCGTGGCCCAGTGGTTAGGCCACGTATACTGTCCACTGAAGGCTGTGAGTTCAAACCCTGGCCGGGGCAGTGAATTTTCTCAAGGTGTAAAAACCTGGCTCTCAACATTGGAGACTGTGAATCTTCCGTGGCTCGGATGACCACGTAAAATGGCGGTCCTGTCTCCAGTAATACTAAGGCCAATGGGGATGTAAAAGAACCACTGAGGGTGCAAAAAAACTCTGGCTGTGACCACCCTCAGTGCCATTCGACTAAAAGGCTAACTACCTGGCTTTACCCAAGCTAGGTCACACCTCACGGCTAGCTATAGCCCTGGACGTTTATTCCTTACGGAATGTCCCTGCGTTATTATCCACGTAACCGTGGTATACGCAGTAAACTATCCAGATCCAGTACAGTAATGACTAAAGTCCAAGCACAGTTTTATCCACGCGGTTCAACCCCTGGATGGCAACCTCCAACACTACAGGATCGCCCCCCAATGGTCAAAGCATCTTCAGGCAAGCCAACATAAGCTTTCACTCAGACCCCAGGAATCCCTCCCACCTGGAGCCAACGAGGCATGGCCGATGTGGTTATGCCTAAATCGCCTCAGGACAGGGTTTGGTCGATGCAGGGCACTCATGCAGAAATGGGGACACACTGAAGATGGCCCAACCGAATGTGAATGCGGGGCGGACCAGACTATGGGACATCTCCTTAAATGCCCCCTATTACCAGAGCCCTGTAGCCCTGGAGGCTTTCAACCACCGTGCCAGCTCCTGTGTGCTGCAGTGGCTAGGCCGAGTGTAGTGATTGTAGAGATGTATAGATTTTACTAGCAAACCCGGCAGTCAAATTCTTTCTAACAGTAAACAAATCCATGTTTAACCTTCTTTTGAGGGTCAAAAGGTTATCAGACACTTACTCTTCGCACGTCAGTGGAAAGCACACTTTCATGGTCCTTTCAATAAAGCCATAAAAATGGTAGGTCACCGCTGAAACAAAAAAGTTTTTCAATCGCTCCGTCACACAATGTCCTCAGAAAAATGTCTAAATCTGCCCTGTTCCCCATTGATCTTTGACGTGGACCTCCAATATTTCGGCACAGTGATGGCTTTTCCTACCGTGATGCTATACACCGACTATCACGAGCACTAGGTCGAGCCGTTTAGATTTGTGCCGCAATTCTGCATTTCCTCCCTATAACCTTAAGTTAAGAGGGAATGTTCCCCCTTCTTTTACACTTCTTGACCTATGACCTTTGACCTCCAGCTTCGACATCCCAACTCGTTTTCGGATTACCCCCCACGTCCCGCAATATCGTGACCGTACGTCGAGCGGTTAAGATTTGTGCCCAACTGTTGACGGACAGACACACCGACGGAGGGCCAGACGCACGGACGCACGGACGATCATGCGATTCTACAAGCTGCATCCGACTACATCAGATGAGCTAATAAAAACAATAAAAACAATTACAAGCTGAGAAATGAGACACAGCAATAAGATAAAATAAAAGTAATTACAAGTGTGAAGTGAGACAGAAGGCCTGTACACAAAAATGCCTGTATGCCGGAAGAAATTATAGTAACTTACATAGAGCACACCGCATTCTGTACCATTGCACGTATTTTATAAAGTTTTGAAACACCTTAGAGACTTTCACTATCGCGTAAACATTGTGGTAGTTCATTCCATAGGTTGGCACCATAATAACAAAAACTTTTTTTTCTATATGTTACAGTTTTAAAACGTGGGACCTTTACATTTTTACTGCGTAGATTATAACAAATATCTTTGGGTGAGATTAAATTTGACAGATAGGATGGACAGTGTCTGGTTAGGATCTTGTAAACCTCTTCAGCAATCTGTCTTTGTCTACGTAGGCCTAGTGATGTAGACACGTCTTTCAAAAGGAGTGATTCATAATCACTGCTATATATAGTCTTGATACACATGGCGTAGAGCACGACAGTTTAACTTTTCCAACTTTTTACTGTTGGCTTCACGGACAAAAAAATGCCATATAATGGGACAAAAATTAAAATTTGATTTGATGAAGGACTGGTAAATTACCTTCCTACAACTAGTAGGTATGTACCTTCCATGGCTCGAATTAACCGACGGCACCGACGGCAATTGCCGTCGGTGCCCTATCAATCGCCATACTGCCCTTGAAAATCCAACCCGACCGACGGCAGTGACCTGCCTGCCCTTTTTTCTGTAATTGCCGTCGGTGCCACTGGCGTAGACTGGTTCGGCGCCGCCACAGTTTGTCGCGAGCGTGTACATTGTCTAGCAGAAGCGTGAGGCCGATTCCAGTCTACCCTTCGGCAAAACAATAACGTGGCTTGGCTGCCAACCGCTGCCAGTAGACGATCGATAAATCGTGCGCCACTGCGCCTGTGTATGCCCATGGTAATTAACACGAATATTTAAATGTTGCACATGAATTTCGGCCCGCGCGCGATTAAAGCGCGGGAACGACGCTCGCCGCAAGAATGGCCAGCTGTGTGATCTGTACGGTGTGAATAGCTTGCTAAGTGCAGTAAATGTTAGAGAAATTTTAGTAGAATTCATACCGATGACACCAAGTTTTTCATAACAATGGTCTGGGTCTGGGCTAGTGAAATTAGGTCAGGGCTGAGTGGTTTCCTCAGTTACTAAGCCCGATGTGTCTAGTGAAATAAAAAGTTAATGTGAACCCTGTTACTGTACTTCATTAGCAGAGGGGGTACAGGGTCGCGTGTACGGTGTAAGCTTACATGGGGCGGAAGACGATGTACATGTGGGGCGGGAGACGGTCTGTACATACACGGTAAAAAAGTTTATTAATTTGTATTGAGTTTTCCGTTATTTTACAAAAGTGCCTTGGGGCCCTTCTCAAATTGTGAGAGTTGCCTTTGATGCCTTTTAAATTGCCTCGGTGCCCATCCATTTTAGAGAAAATTCAAGGCAATTTCTCACATGCCCCTAAAAAATTGCCTTGCCCCTCTCGTCGCTTAATTCGAGGCCTGGTACCTTCCAATGCGTCGCAGCACATTGATTTGCCTAGCGGCTTTTTTACAAATATTTGATATGTGAACATCAAAATTTAACATGTAATCGAGGGTTACACCAAGTACTAGGACTAGTAGTACACTATCATCACTACACTTTATGTCAGCACCCTGAATACTGAAGGTAGGATTCCTATTGTGGATATCTTTACCCACTGCGAGGCCTTGAAATTTGTCTGCCCTCTGTGTCCCCCACTAAAATTGTGGACTGTTCGCTGGCAGCTATGGATGCGTGCGCCGGCCTAAGCATTCGGCGCACGGATCCATAAGCTGCCAGCGCTGATACTGTCGTGGACGTTCCCGCGGTCCGCCGTGCGCCTTGCCGCGGAACTGCGCGCAAGATCTGCGCCTCAGCACTTCGGGTCAACAACCTCCTTCGGCAACGCTTCTCTAGTATCCCGTCTCATCTGGTTTTCAGAAAACCAGTCAACAAGAACTATTACTATTAGTAGTATTACTATTTATAATTTAGTACTAGTAGTAGTACTACCACTACCAGGAGTAAGATAATAAATTAATATAGGAACCTAGGCTATTAATATTATTATCAAGAGTGCATAATAGAGATGCATCTCTATTACTATTAGTATTATGCACTCTTGTTATTATCTTACTCCTGCTACTACTACTAGTACTAGTACTACTACTACTAGTACTACGTTTTAACACAGACTGGTTCACTAACGGGAGCACGGGATGACCTTAGCAAAATCTTCGGTATAGCAAATGCTCCAATCTTAACTAATATGTACACGTACCACAGTTTTATAGATTAAAATGAAACTGGAAGATAGGAAACGCTTCAAAATATTTACATGATCCTCGATAGCAACACGGTTTGCAGCGCCCCGCGCGGTAATTTATTTCAGCGTGTGGGATACTTCCCGATAAATTGTACAAACTATCTTAGTACTACGGCAATATATTATCACATTATTAAGGAATAAAATGGAAAAATACTCAAGACGTATTTTTAAATCGCTATTTATAGTATGAATTTTCATAAATAATAAGCTAAAAATGGCAGCAATGAATAATGTATTTACTACGCGATAGGGGGCGGTAGTATTTCAAAATGGCTGCAGCTGGAAAACTTTATTCAGTGAACTTCGAAGTATTTGGCACTGTTCAAGGTATTACCTGTATTCTATGTTATCAATATTATAAGAACCAGTAAGGCGATTTCTCTAGTTTACACTAATTGTAAATACTTTGATTATTTATGTCTAAAAATTGCATGTACCATCCTATAGGTGTTTCTACGGCGGCCGCACCCAGCATGTACGTATGTATCGTGTATGAATATGATATTTGAAAACGAAAAGCTGTGACCGCTTAAAAATCTTTCTAGTACCATTAGGTGTGTTAATTAATAGCAGTGATAACCTATATATTACCCCGGGTTGTGTATAACATCATGCACAGAACCTACCTAATAAACGAAGCCACCTTCATGTTTAGCTCCAAGAAACGGTATTGCTAGGGTTAGAATACCGTTTCAAATTCTTGCCCATAAATCCTTGTAGTTGGCTCGGTATCCAACCATCGACACAGCTAGCGTCACATGTAATAGCTCAAACGAATCTATAAACCTCTGGCTTGCTCGCGGTAACTGGGCGCTACTGGGCGCTAGGTACTTATTTATCGAGTTATGCTGTTTTTCTGAGATGAATTGGATCAAAACAACCAGACAGCCGCCATGTCGGCCATGTTCAGTGCGACTAAAATCGACAATGTAACTGATTTTCACAGTGCGTAGGCCTAAACACACGGCAAGTTGTTGTAGATTGATGTTTCCTGGTTTTCAATGTTTTAATATTTATATATATATACAAGTATATGATGCTTATTTATGCTCGCGCCAACGTGAGTTGCAACGCTATGGTATGTTATATCGTTTCGGGTTTTCCGCGTTCCGATCGAAAAGCAATTTAAAGCATGCGCAGTGAAAACATGGCGGTTGGTTGAAATTTCGGTTTGGCTCTTGAAATTTACACTGTGCACAGCGAACTGAGGTATTAGTTTTAATAACAATGCTGGAATACTATAACTTATAAGGTGAAGGTTATACTTAATACAAAACAAGGCAGAAATGCTTAGATGATTATTTTATTTGAGATATACGTAATTGTTCGGCAGTTTTTGTAGAGGTACAAGATTTTCCAATGGATGGATGTCAGGCGGTATATTGACGTCAGTCACACAGCCTGGTCGGGTTACTTCATGTTATACCTTGCAGAGGTTTCTTGCAGAAGTAGCAGGTTGTTACAAAGCATTTTATTGCTATCGTAAGTGTTGAATTATTAATTGTCGACGCACCATTTAACCAAATTACACGATTGAGCTTAAAAAAAGTCCTTATGTAACAACTAAATCAAAATTTCACTTCCGTAAATAGCTGGCCAGCTTCACAGAATCGTGTTTGCGTACAATAAAATATTACCAATCTATGCGTTGAGTCGTTGACACTTCATGCTCGTCTCTGTCGCTCGTGACTCCCTGTCCTCTTCACCTCCCTCCATCACGTCTATTCTCTGCATTCTCGTCTGTGCTGTCTCTGTTACTGCATCCTCACTACTGCCTTGGTTGTTCTGCACTGTCTATCTTGCTCTCAGCTCCCTACCACTTCGTGTGCCCCTTTGTGCTGTTGCTTTTCCTTCTCGCTCTTCACTGCCTTTCGTGTGCGCTTTCGTGTGGTCACTCTTCCTTCTGCTTGCCACCGCTTCATGTGTAAGCGGCTAATGGCCCAAAGAAAGCGCCTCGATCGCGTGGTGCGTATCATCGCAGCCACGACTAACCCTGACACAGGACTTCACTAGTAGAGAAAACTAGGGGGTAAAGTGCATTAACATCATATTTTTGTGCAGTAACTTGACACCTATGCATAATTTGAAAAGAGATTTCGGCTATCGTTTTTTTGCGGCCAACAGCGTACTGCTACTGGAAATCTTGGAAAAAAAACACTTTTTATCCCATGATTTTAATCTAGTACTAAGGCCTCAATTAAAAACATCTTTGTTTGCCTGCGACCGACCCAGGCTGAAAAGTTTGGGTGGGTAGGTAGGTAGGCTTTTTTTTAGGGGGGGGTGTTTTTTTACAAATTCAGAACGGGTGTGCTTGTGTGGAGATGCCTTTTATGTTGAATGTTTGTTTTGCTTGGTACATATAATGTATTGTCTATAGATTTATATAATGTACAGTAATACAATTTGTAAAAAAAAAAATGGGAAAGGTCAATAATTTTTTTTGAGTCAGCCCCTTTTTGGTGGGTCGATCGGGTGAGGGCAAACAAACAATATTTTTATTATGGCCTGAAGCCCTACCGCTACTGCAAGAAGTCAGGTTTATCAGAGGTTGATAAGTGGCGTAGTGTGTTAGGTACGTTGTGTGCATGATGTAACGCACTACCCTCACATCCAATTTGATTAATCGATCTATGTTTTAGTCAAGATGAGTTAACAAAAACTAGTATAGCTCATTTAATTTTGATAATTACAATATTGATCTTTTTGTTGTTTAATAATGGAGTGTGGCTGTCTAGTACCACACTTGAATAACTGACACCTTGTCTCATTTACAAGCATACACCCTCAATAAAAGCTCGATTGAAAATAATCTGTGTTTATCAGCAGTTGTTGACAATACGAATCACAACCTGCCACAGTGGGTGTAACAGAGGTTTCTGCACCTTGCATGTTCGGACCAATGCTGGGCCATACGCATGCTTGACTCGCCATTCACGTTGGAACATGCATACAGGCCCCTCCCTACGTTGCGCAAACCGGGCGCGCCCGACCCGTTTGGGAAAACTCCCCCCGCCTCCCCCGTTTCAATCGTTGCGCCACGTTTAAATTACCTCCGCTCTTATTAAATTCTACCACCCGGATAGGAAATGTTATCGCCAAATTGAAATACACTATTTTCAGCAGAGTTTCAGCGTGACAGTTCAAAATAAAAGTTTGACAGCGCGGGAATCGATCATTTGTTGATGCCGCCATTTTGCGAGCAGTAACCAAAGCACACTTGTGTTTTTTGCTGTGATTGGCTGGTCACCCTCACTGCTAAGCCAATCAGCAGAGAGCTCTTTTGAACAGTTCCTACATGCGCATAGTCAAAAACTACATGAGGAACAGGCTGAGTGAGTCAGCTTTGGAGGCGCTGCTGCTACTGGCAATTGAGGGGCCACCTCGGCAAGAATTCCCATTCGACCAGGCAGTTGACTGTTGGGCTGCCATGCGCCAGCGTCGAGTAGATGTGACAAAGTAGAGTCACAGTGGATGAATCATGACATTAATGATGAAGTTTTACAGAAAAGATTCTGCTTATTGCAATACATGTCAATAAATGATACATCCACTAAACTGATGCTGTTCATTTTTATGTACTTGCCCGAAAAAATAACAAGTTGCCTTCAAGTTCTCCCATAGTTATCCCATAAACCCTAGTTTAAAAACAAAAAATATAAAAAATGACACACCAGATCAGAGAAAACAAATCAACTCAAACATGTCCCAAAATGCAACAGAGATCTAAGATCTAAAAAAAAAATTGGGGGGGCCGTGCCCCCGGACCCCCCTAGCTTTTTTTTTCTCGCTGCGCTCGCACGGTCCCTTCCCCCTGTTTCAATTTCATCCTGGGGAGAACCCTGGCATAGTACACGTTTATTTGCTAAACTTTTTAATATTATTGCCACATGAAACAGTGTGTAAACTCTTAGTGTTGTGTTAATTAGTTAGGTATCTGGAAAATCTGAATAATATTAAAAATCGTTGATCTTGGTGCGACTGGCGATGAAGCCAGTGAAATGGTGGAAGGTGTGAACAGCTGGTGTCCTACAGGGTTTCCCCTGCGATGTATTGAGTGCTGAGAGCGGAATTCCATGCTTTTCACATAGAAATGTTAATATTTCTGCTACAGGAGTGTAGAATTTAGAGAGCTAAATGCTAAAGCCCTTGTAACCAGAATTTATAACCTGATACCTTAAACTGCCCAATTTGGTTGGCAAGGATTGCTGCCTTATAGAATCAGCACAGCAGGCCAGCTGAGACAAAATTGTCAAAAAATAATCTGGTTGTCAATAAAGTGGTGTACTAACTGTGATGTTGCTTAGAAATCAATGCCGATGCATCTTGGAGTGCTGTACCTATTCCAAATTCCAATTGTCATGAATAGCCATGTCAAGTATGGTGTGGCTTTACATAGTATTAGGGGACATAAGTGGACCAAATGAAACAGTATAATACAGGGTTTCTTCTGAGGGAAAATTAGACAAAGGAGGTAATGGCCAGTTTGGGGAAAAACGTGCATGATGGATTCAAAGGCGTGACGTAGGCACGCATACAGACTATGCAGGTGAATGAATATGCCAGAATAACTCTAAATATCAACTCATGCAGTCTCTAAATATGCCAGAAGCACTTGATGATCTATTTATTTTTTGGTTGACACTATTTTGACAACGGCGGGTAAATACAAGAACATTTTCACAACGGCGATGTTAAATTTGACAACGGCGGTGCGCCACTGTACCTCTTATGTATAAGAAACCTTTGTAGCAGGCAGATCACTCAGGTGTGTAGGCTGTAGGGTAATGCCTAATGTTCTAATTACAAGATGATTGTTAGGTGTATGAGTCGGCTGCTTTCAGTGCAAGAGAAATTTTAGCTTAGCAGGGTGTTTTTTATATTTAAAGGAACAGAGTACCATTATGCAGGAAGTACAAACTACAATGCTAAAATTATAATTGCCTGCCAGTAAGATGTTTTTATTAACATAAATAAAATTATTATAAAGATCCGGTTCCAGCCGTCTTTTTATGAGTAGTTCCGGCAGTAACTTGAACTTTGAAATATTGGTTAGCCATTGATCCAAGATGCACTGCACGCATATATATGATATAGATGTTGGTGTAGTTAGGGTGGCTACTAATCACACAAATCTAGCCAGTACAATTGTATTACATTAAACATTCGTCATTCCAAGTTGCTTAATGGTACTAGTGCTCAGATGGATTATGTAGTCTGTTATTTTTAAAATTTGGAGAATGTTAAAGTACCAATAGGAGGTTTGAAAGGTAGAATGAAGCTTGAGACAGGAATCACCTAGACAGTAGTGGAGATAAAAGTAAAATAAG